CGACCCAAAACAGCGAGCTTGTTTCAACAAGTGGGAGCAGCTTTGGTCTTCCAAGATTCCTTTCCGACATTCAAAACATGTTTATGTAAGAACGAAAGCTCCTTACGGCTGGTTATAATGATGGGTGACGTTTTGGTTGAATAAACTTAAACTTTATATGAAAAACTCGTCAAAACAAGCGCAGCTTGAACGCTGACCACCGGCGCATGTCATCCCGGAATATTTACACAGCCCAATCCTGCAGGAATCGGCAGGACTCGGCTCCGGTATCCCTGGCTAATGATTTTTGAAGCCCGGGCTTATCCGTGCTATTGTCGGCGGGTCCTTTTGTGTTCCCGGCGCTCCGGGCGACACTTTCCGCCCAAAAGCCGCCGTTAAACACCTGAAGATGGCCCCGGGGGTAGCTGAGGTAACCGCCCGCTTGTACAGTCCACGCCTAGCCGCTGACATTTCTAGCTAGCACAACCGCCAGAATCGCTAACTGACTGCCTCAGTGTTGTTGTTGGATGAGTCGGAATCTCACGTCTGCTTCATGTGTCAATCATAACGACGTCATCACCCGTTGTCCTGGCAACAGGCGTTAGATCAAAGGCGCCGGTGCCGCGGAAAGCTCTGATCTGTGCCGAGCGCCATTCCTGCGGACTGAGCGTCGCTATTTCCCTTTAAAAAGTCTTCTCCAGCGGAGAAAGCCGCTTTTAAAATTCAATTTTCCCGGTCGGTGGGTCCGGAGACCCGCTGATCTCGCCGGTCGGTAATCCCCTTAACGTTTTTACACCTATTATGTCCGCGGGCCTGCGCTGATAACATCAACGGGAGCTCACAGAGAGAAACTTTCTACACGCCGACTTTTCTGTGCCGTGCTAAAGTACCAACAACCAGGGAGCTTCAACTTGTCTTCGCCGTGCTCAAGTACCAACAGCTAACCTCCCGCCAAACATGGTTTACATACAAACATAGCGGGGAGCTCACAGACAAACTTTCTACACGCCGACTTTTATTTGCTGGGCTAAAGTACCAACAACTAACCTCAACCCCACCAGCTTTTCCTTGTCGTGCTAAAGCACCGACAACCAAGGAGCTTCAACAAGCTTGCAGCAACCAAACCTAACCACGACGAGTTTTCCTCGCCATGCTGAAGTACTTACAAATAACCTCAACACTCGCTTGCATACAAACTTTCCCTTGTGCGAATTCCGTTGTTGAATTCGGAAGGATATGATACGAATAATAGATAACAATTTCAAAAGGTTTCTTAAGGTTGTTGCTGTTTTTTTTTTGTTTGTTTGTAAAAGTGATCCACGCGGCTTGGAGAATGAGGAAAATTACGCCAAAACCTACATTAGATTGAACTTTTATGCCCCCCCCCCCAATTCTCCAATTCGTCACTACTTCCATTGATGTCAACATCACTAATGTGACCTGACGGTAACAGCAGGTCAACAAAGAAAGTTATGATGCAAACATAATGTGCAACATAAATAGAAACCATGTTCTTTCCTATGTAAATGTTTACAGATCTGTAAACAACAAACATTCTGCGACACAAAATTTTCGTACGTTTCTTAAGGAATTGTGTTCACCAAGAGGTGGATAATTGTTTTAAAACTTTAGATGATCGAACAGTGATGAACATAAAATGTTCTCTCACCTAACGTTAGATCTTTTGACCAGTCACTCTGATTTAAAGTTTTAACACTAAACTTTAACTCTACCAACACAGATGAACTTTCATGATAGTGCATAATTGTTGTTTCCTTTTTCGGTTTGAAGCTTTGCTTGCGCAAAGTTTTAGACGATACGTTATGATGATGTACTCATTTGATCGTTGGTTACGTGCAAATTGTGTGTTTAAAATAGGAAGACTATGTCTTATTATAGCGTTGTGGGCCTAGTAGTCAATCTTCTTTAGAATCTGTAAACTTAAGATTACGCGATTGTGGGATTGTGCCCTAAAACTCCGCTAAAACCGGCTCAGAACTTAAGCCAGAACTCTCGCAGTGCGAGGTGCGAGATTAGCTCAAGCAGGACCCCCTAGGAGATACCACGTGGGCCTGATGAGCAGGACCCCCTAGGAGATGCCCCGTGGGCCTGATGAGGGTCGGTGGAACGGAAAGATGACGGAGATTCTCCGTTCTGATTAGGGAGCCGGGAAGTCATTACACAGAAAACACCGGGACGTGCCGAGACTGCCGTCAGAAATAAACACGTGGAATATTTGAAATTTAAAAAAAAAAATCATTTGCAGATTTATGCTGCCCAACACAGGACTTACGTTGTGAAAAAGGACCAAATAAATTGAAAAAAAAACTAACTCAAATGCACTTACAGATACAATTTGAGTTTTTAAAACAATTAATGACCTTACCGCCTTGGTTTGACAAGTATTGACTTGTATGCTATCAAATGGAAACAATGCATATATTTTTCCCGCATGCTTTTCTATTATGCGATATTTCACGTTCACCATGACGCTTTACATGATAAACGGCTTTATGGAAAAGAGTCCTGAACATAAATAACATTGCTCGTGTCCGGGTGGCCTCCATAACATGCCAAAAACTATTAGTTTTGGGGGTCTTTGTGGTCTTTGGGAGCTTTTAGGTGCTATTTTCTGATTGCATATAGACAACATAGCCGGCCTGGGTGAATTACCCCCGTCTTTTAGAACTGGGCTAATCAGAAAACAGCCGAAGACCACCAAACCCCCAGTTCTATAAGCCTGCTACGGAGGCTAATCAGAAAACAGCCGAAGACCACCAAACCCCCAGTTCTATAAGCCTGCTACGGAGGTTAGTGTCCGGGAGGAATATGACATTTCTAGACCCTCTCCAGCCGTGCCTCCATCTGTACGTGATCACGCCACATCATACAGACGTGTGGCATCCCCAATACATCAATGTCCGGCGGTTAATGTCAAATTTATGTGTAACATGACGTCCATTTACACATCTCGCAAAGAGCGGTGTCGGTAATGTGGAGTAAATCTTCGTCATGTGTTCCCTGGGACACATTTTCTGTGTTCGGCAGGACAGGGGTATTGTGAATTCTGCTGACAAGGCGTGAATTTACGGCCGCGCTCAAGTGTCGCTACCGTGGCCTTGTATGGTCCCACTCCACTGCTGCTAAGGTCACATTTCCCAACCGGGACCCGGTCGGGCTGTTTGTGTGAACGAAGAATAAACAATTCATATCAAGAATATACATAAATAAAGTTCATGATTAGTTTTACAACTTTTTGTGTTTTGTTGTCTTTTATATTCTACTTGTCGTCCCCGCAAACTGCAAACTCCCCGAGTGGGAGCATAGACGCGAGTCCATGAAGCAATCAAAATCAGAGTTGGCCACCCTACATTTGTACTTTTGTAAAGGATGTAATGTTTTAGATGTTCGTAACTTGGTAGTCAGTAGTCAGGTAGCCTTAATTTATTATGATAAAAACAACTTTTAGTATCTGCATACGTGTTTCTTTAGATGTGTATGACGTTCTATCAAGTTGTTGAAGCTCCTTGGTTGAATCAGTCCATCATCAGACTTATTTTTTCTCCAATTTTGTCTTGCGCTTCGAAATTAACATTGGAATGACAACGATCACTCGTCACTGTCGCGCGAGTTCCCTGTCACTCCCTGCCAACTATCGCGCGAGTTCGTTATCCCAGTCCTATCGGGCGGCGGCGAGCCTTTCTTCTGTAGAAGTTCGCTTTTGTTTCTCCGTCTTGAGTTAAGTCGTACTGACGCGCTTTGCGTACCTCTCGCCCGGAACGCTGCGGTAATTACTATGATGCAATGGCCAATATCTGCTGGCATGTTTCTTTAGATGTGTATATTGAATCAGTCTCGATTGTCTCCAATTATGTTTTACGCCACGAAATGTAATTCATGAACGAACATTTCTGCCTGATATACAACATCATCATACCTAACTCATCAAGTCAATCTGGAATTGCAACGGTCCTGTAGCTCCCGCAAACTATCGCGCGACTTCGTTCGGGTGGCGGCGAACCTTTGTTCAGTAGAAGTTCTCTTTGTTTCTCCGTCTTGAGTTAAGTCGTTGTGACGCGCTTTGCGTACCTCTCGCCCGGAACGCTGCCGTAATTAGCACAGGGACGTGGTCCGCGGGGATGTACGGGTAATAACGGAAAGGTCACGACTTTATTACGGAAAACGCGCGGGTCGCGAGGAGGTCTCGGGAGGGGAAAACCCGCGCACGAGGCGGATAAATTACCCGGATGTTTGTCGGTACAAGGCGGGGAGTGTCACAACCTATTTCTCACAACACTTCATTTTGTTATGAACCGCCAGCGTTGTATAAGTTTAACTATGCAAATTTACATTTCAAGCATAAGAGATTAATCAGGTGCATCTAGGTAGAAAGAGATTTGACGTCCCTTTGGATTGTATCATCGTAATGTAAATAAATTTCATCATGAAGCGCCAGCGTTGTAACTTGTAATTGTCTAAACTTTTAACTATGCAAAATGACATTACAGGAGCCAGAGATGACTGATTTGACTTGATTTGACGTCCCTTTGGATTGTATCATTGTAATATAAATAGCACACTGTAATTGTTTCGCACGAGTTCATTCGATCAGAAACAGACAAAAATTATTCGTCCTAAGAACCCATTCTATTTTTACGTATACGTAATTATATATAATATAAACTTTGACATTCATCTGTTTGCACTGAATGAACCAGCGCCGAGAAACGCTTTCGGAACGCGGAAAAAAACTTTGCTCGTTTTGTCATAACGCGGCAACCACAGTCCTGATACAGCATTCTACAACCCAGTTTCATAACGTTTCTCCACGCTTTGGGTGATTACAAAAAACAATGCTGTTATGGTTTGCCTAACTTTTAAATGCCTAACCACGAACTGATCCATTGCGCGGATTCCATCGTCTTCCTAGACGGAAGGATGCCAACAAACAACAACTTTTGAATGACGCGCATTATTCTACAGCTAGAAATTAGTTTCGCAAACAAACTTTCTCCACTGACCTTCCTTCTTGGTGGTGACGTTTCCGTTTGTCTGCGGTGGCGGGGCGCCCGCGGTGGCTGGTGGGTAGGGCCAGGGTCCCGGATGTGGCCAGGCGTTGCCGTTGAGGAGGCGGAGTTTCTCCAGCATCTGCGGGTCTGCGGACTGCAGGCTCTGTAGCGTGTTCTTCTCTCCGCTCGCTAAGTTACGCAGCACGCGGTTTATAGAGGATACCTGTGGGGAAACAGTCTCCGTTAGCCTGGTTACGTAGCCTCTATCAGGCTTCGGGAGGCGGCTGGAAAGAGTAGAAATCGGCCAAATAGAGAGATAACATGCCAGGGGAGTTGGTCTGCTGGAGAGAACACTTTGCCGCTCCCGAAGCCTGGTATGGGCTAAATTACGCAGCATGCGGTTTATACTAGAGAAAACCTAGAGAAAAACAGGCAATTTTGTCATTCCTCTTTTGTTAATGCGATCTTCTGGTTCAATTTCAAATTGGCAGGTTTGCATCGATAACGCTGCCGAAAGAAAAGAAGATACTGGTACAAAGAATAGGCCCAATATAAAAAGAAAACGTCCAGAACGATGTCAAAAATAAGACAATGCCTAAACCTCATCTTGAAGAGTAACCCTTTCAACTAGACCAGAAAATTGGATGAGACTTCTGGTAGACTGGAATCATACATATTTGACTAGTCGAAAACAGGCGGTTATCGTCAAAGTCTTAAGTTAATTAAGGGGATTAAATATAGTGTTTAAAAAAGATGTTAAAATAACCCGAAACAAAACAGATATAGGCAGTGAAAAATATGCGAAATACACAGTTTTACAAGAGTCAAAACTACGCTTGCTAAAACCGGTCCGTTTTTAATTTGTTGGTGGATCACAATCGGAGTCCATCAGAGTGAAAAGTCAGGATCAGTGATGTGGATTCCTAATGTTACATACATTTTCGTAAATGCGTGTTTCAGTCAACAATCTTTAAGCGAGCACGTTACAAAAACTGTCTACAAGCCTGCAGGAGCCCAACACAATGTCAAGTACAGCTCTCAAAAACGACTCGCGAGTCATGAGTGCTTTCGAATTCGCATTAAACAATTCCGGTCTTCACCACTTCACGCTGTGTCGCTAACCATCGCAATGTAAACAGGACCGTTTCTGTTATTCTCGAAGCAGAGGTTTGGGTTTTGGGTTACTTTTGGTGTGTTTTAGGCTTTTTATCGGGGTTTATTTTTTGCACTGGAATCCTTTTGTCACAAAAAATCCAGTGCAAAAAAGAAACCCCGATAAAAAAGCCTAAAACACGCCAAAAATAGCCCAAAACCCAAACCTCTGCTTGGAGAGTACGTTTCTGTGACAGAAGTCCTCTTGCCCGGGGATTAACAGGAGTTAATGGGGAGATAAAGGCCGTTATTAGCGGGGCAAATGACGCAAATGTGACATTTTTACAGGCGGGAGACAATAGAAGCACGGGCAACACCGGCAGCGACAGGCCGACTGTACGGACTAACGCCCCGCGAGAGGTAACCTCCCGATCGCGAATTTCGGCCACTTTAACAACTAATTAAACCCTACAAATCCACTCGACACAGTAAAAAATCTCCTCCATAAGGTTTTAGATTGAAGTGGTGTTTTTCATGGGAAAAATCGTTTTGTTTTTGGTTTGGTGAAATCTCAGCGTTCCGATCACAAATTTCGGCCGCTTCATCAACAAATTAAACCATACAAATGAAAAATAAAATCCACTAGACTTGTACCGCAGTAGACTCAAATTCTCCTGAATAACGTTTTGGATTGAAACGGCGTTTTTTTTTTTGCTAGAAAAGATCGTTTGGTTTTGGTGAAATCTCAGCGTTCCGCGGCGCGTGTCTGACGGGGTGCACGGTGATGATATCCCAGCAGGGAGCTCCGACCAACCTGCTGGTCGTTACCGGCTCTGCATGCTGTAGCCTCTACCAGGCACCGCGGATCGCTGGAAATTCTAGAAATTAGCCAAAATAAAGGGAATAGTATACCAGGGGAGTTAGGCGGCCAAAAAAAGGTTACATTTTGCGACCCTAGGATGCGGCAAAATGTACTCTCTAGATGACCAACTCCACTGGCATGTCATCTCTCTGAGCAATGTCTACTCTGTTCAGCCGCATCCCGAAGCCTGGTAGAGGCTAGCTCTTCTAGATCTATACATGCCAATGAATTGATAATAAGGAGATGTAGAATAGATGTAAGAAGTATCCACAGCACATGGTTGAAATGAAGCATGGGGTTAGAGAGAGTTCAGCAGGGGAAATGCGTCTATCTGTAGTTGTGCAAGCCGATTGAGATTTTAAGAGATGAGAATAAAAGAAAATGAATGCTTTAAAGAGAAGAATCATAAAAGTCAGACCAATGCAGTTGCAGTAGTTTCCACGTGGTTGATTTGAACGAATAATTGAATTAAAAACAAACAGAAAAGCTAAGTTGTCTTGTACAAAAACAGCTGAATGTCACTGTGGTGTCCGTTGAAAGCGCCACAGTTGGAATAATGCTGTGAGTCGCAACAGAAAAACACTGTCCGAAGCAAACGATCTACCGCAGTATAGAGGCCAGCTGGCACCACAATAGTGACAATCCACCTATAATTATCACATTTACGCCATTCCTACCCGGCTCAACTCTACGGTTTTACAGATTTCGATGCAAACGACGTGTTAAGTCCCATACACAGCGAGCGCGTCGTTCAACCAACCACACAACCGTATAACCGCCTTGGAACACTCTCACTTCCCAAACGTGTCACTTTTACCTGCTCCATCCTACTTGAAGTCCAAGTACAAACCGCTTCCCTGTTCCCTGAGTCCTTAGCGAGTGGAAAGTCCAGACAATGCTGTCCTGTACGCGCCGCTGTCCGTTCTAAAGCTGGGGAGGACCGTGCGGGGAGTTTTGTACCGTGAGAAGCGTGACAGTGCGCAGTGGCGTGATGTAATGCGTCCTGACGGGGCGGGCTGGCGGGCTGAGGCGGGCTACAAGCCCGGGAACAACCCCGATAACCTCCCGGTTACCATCTGCCGCCACAAACACGGAACTAACGACCCTCCGGTGGCTCCGACGGTCACTTAAACAGAACTAAAGGGCGAGGGAATGACGCTAGATCTGACACGAGGCGCTTCCGAGGACAGGGTGCAAAACAAGCCAAACTCCAGAAAAAATAAAAACATTTTCGAAAACACAGCTCTTTTTTTTTTTGGTACTACGTTATGCTTAGGTCACAACCAACGGTCACTTAAAAAGAACTAAGGACGGGGGGGTGACGCTAGATATGACACGGGCACGGAGAAAATGTCTACTCTCCAAGCAGAGGTTGTGGGGAATTATCGTTAGCCCGATATATGGCCCGTTTTGTTTGTCGCTACCCCCACCTTCGGTGCATGGACCGTCTCTGGCCAATTGGATAACGGATACTGCCTGGCCAATTTGATACTCTATTTTTGAGACCCTAGGATCTTCTTGGAGATTAGAAATGTCGTGCTTTGGAAGACGCGTACGGTGCAAAACAAGCGGAGCTAACTGAACCCCACAAAAAATAAATACATTTCCATAAATGCAGGTCTTCGTTTTGTAGTGGTTAGCCTTTGTTGCATTCATGATTTTATGATTTTGCTAAGTTTATCGTTTAGTAACTACATTAGTTCTAATGTGTTCGAATTCGCGCGCGATCGTTATGTTTCCCCCCTGGTCCATGTTTTGTGAAATCGTGTCAGACGCTGTACAAGCCTTTTGCATAGGTCACATTTCCAAATCTGGGCCCGGCTGGGCTGTTTATTAGAACGAAAAATTAACCATTCATATCAAGAAAATACAGAAATAGTGCCCATGGTCATTATTAAAGACCTTTCTGTGTTTTGTTGTATTTTATATCGTATTTTTCGTTCCCTAAAATCTGCCCGGCCGGGCCCCGTGTGGGAATTGTGACCTCAGCATTACAGGTTGTTTTCCCCTCCCCATCACGTAATCCCGATTTGCTTCCATTGTTACCGTCTGTAACAACATGCGTAAGATAAAATCAACCCTTCGATCAATCAAAAGATTGACAGGAAAACAAAGATGACAAGATGTTAGGGATTTGTGCGGTAGTTTTCCGTTTAAATATCGCCTTTTTAACCAGATAAAATCGACATCGGGATTTTTCGGATCGAACGAATTCCATTTCGCTTTACCGTTAGAATAAAGAGAAATTAAGAAATCAACGAAATATTACGAAATTTCAACTCTATTGCAATATATTCTAGATCAAACAATTGATGGAGACTATAATTTATTGTGTAACATTTTCAACGTGAAGATTCATTATTTTGCTACAATTTGTGGCGCCTGAAAAGCTACATCACATTAGTGTTGTTGCTACACTGCATGGAACGAAAATTAACCTGGCATGTCTGGTCCGTAGAAATATTGCACTCGTTCCGAATTCATTCCCAAGATGGTTAATGCATGAGAATATCAAGACAAAACCTAGAACGCACGAATCTCGTGTATCCATGCTTGGAACATTTATTCTTTGGAAGGAAGCGAAGAAACCAGAGCAGTTTTGCCGCCTAACATTTGTTTGTTGCAACAAAATTCTCTCTCGGAGACATCACAAAACAAGCTTTCAATTTCTATACGTTTCTTTCTTCTGAAGTTTTGATATACAGTATATTTTCTTGTTTTTATACATTCTGCTTTGATGGAACCAGCTAATACAGCTCCGTAATAGATAAATCACCAACGTGAATGTTTTCTTGCTTATACTCATTTTTCTTTTCCCGATTTTGTAATTATGTACTTAGTGATTGTGTTTTTGAGTAGAAAGCGTCATATAAGCACCTGTTCTTCTTGCCTAATACTCAATGAATATACGTGACTAAAAATACAGTTCCGAATGTAGCATCCACACGTCTATTTCCGCGCCTGGGCGTTGTCCCAGATGGGCCCTTTCTGAGCGCGGCCTCCCCGTGGCGAAAACGCTTTAATTTTTCAATTGGCGGCTGTCGCCGTGGAATGCGCCGCTGCACGGTGTGGACGGCTCGGGAATAGCGCGGCTTACATCTAATGTAGCCTCCACCAGCACCACCATGCCTTTCTACGGGAAGCATTGTAGCATTCGGCAAAAAAGAGAGTAAAATTTGCCAGGGGAGTCCGGACGCGGGGAGGTAGTTTCTTTCCCTCCCTGCACGGCCAGTCAAACCCAAAGACGGCCAAACTCCCCAGGCAAATATTCTCCTGTATATAGCCAGCGTAGTTAGTCTGGTAGAGACTACTCTAATAAAAAGAAATATCACATTGAATGGGTTTATTTAATACATAATGGCCAAGGCGCATAAACAACAAACGGAACTCCATTAAAACCGGATGGAGCGTTCGTCAGTCCGAAAGGAAGCCGTATAGACCGAACGGTGCGGGGAAGATGGGGGAGAATGCACAAATGGACCTTCTGCCGCCTCTGCATCGTCTTGGGATTAGCGAGAGGGTTGTTTTTATTTTAGAGAAACTGTATGCATAATAGAATACTGCAGATGTGTTAGGAAATGGGCAAATGCTTTACAGAGTCGGAAACAGAAGTTTTTCAACGAAAATTGCACTAACGAAAAATATTGTGTATTCCGAACTGCACTATGGCAAATATGACATCTCTACGAGTCTCCTCGCAGTGTCCCAACGCCCGCCGAGTGTCCCGCCGCGATGCCCGCTGGGAACGGACCTTTCCGGGCCAATTTGCTCATCCGATACAGAAATCATAGAAATCAACAAAAGCGAAGCAGCGAGGCGCCAGTAGTGCCGACAGGACCCATGCGCCATGCATACGGGCTGCAGGAAGGCGACGGGCGGCGGATATTTCTGTTAATTTATTGATCGCAAAAAAAGGTACAAGATACAGCGGAGATGACCTATATATAGCAAATTGCTGATATTAGCGTCATCACTGGGAAAACCATGAATGTAGAAAAATCAGAAAAAAATAACAACATTGATTGGCACACAAGTAATATAACGGAAACACTACAGTGTTCAGGTTTCAAAGTCAGGAATAGAAGACATACCGTATTGGACAACGTTATGTAGTACTATCTAGAGTTTTCCTGAATAATGTCAACGTTTTACATCATCAAAACGACACAGAACTAACCCTGGCGCTGTTCTGTGAACGCCCTGTCGTCAAAGGCATTTTGCAAGCATTTTTGTAACCTTTAAAATATTTTTCGTTCTTAATATTGAGAAGTAAACGGACAACGAAAATCCACATTTAACACAAGGAACGTTTGATAATATGAACAGAATAATGTAACCAGATTATTTCCATCGTCTAAAGGGTTGAATTTTGTCCAAGAAACGATTTGGAAATCAATGGTAAGATTTACAGTAGCTAGCCGACGAATCCTAGCTTGTGCTTTTTTTTCACCTTTACAATTTTTATGTTCTTCTCTTACATTGAAATTTTGCTTTTTATATCATGCATCACATTTTCTACGTTTATAGACCTTAAAAAAAGTTATGAAACGCTCGGATATGGCCTCGACGGGCCATCGTAAGGGGACGACCGTTTGCGAGACAGAAATTTGCGAGCCGCCATCCCGGCGCTTATTGAATTTAAGAACAGTATTATTTACTCCACGGAGAGAAACCTGTCCTCTGACGGGCGATAATACCCGGAATGCAGTCTGGGAGCGGTCATTATCCTAATAATGCCCCGTCCTGGGAGCGGTTATTATGCCGATAATAATCTGCCGATGGGGACCGAATATGCTTCCGGTACAGACAGCACTTTCCAAATATTTGTTTTTGTAAACCCAGAGCAAATACGTTTCATAGGAAGCGCCGTTAAAAATCAATTGGCTGTTAACGTTGTTTACACATGTAGCTACTTAACGTATTTGATTCCATATTAGTTTATATACTTTTGTATCAATGTCGTTTCTCAGTGTCTTTTTATGAAACAAAGATTGAACGACAAGATATGTTTACACATGAATTTAATTATATTCTGCCAACGTTGGGGGCCCTCTACTTCAGTATTGCTTCAGGTTTTATTGCAATAGGCCATGACATATTACTAGTCAGTTAATCACAGTTTTGTCAGAATGGCATGTTTTATATGGACTGAATCTATAAAGCAATCAAATTCAGGGCAAGGTAAATTAAGACGTAGGGATAGATGTAGCATACGTTAAAACAGTTGGCTTGATAATAGTTATTTGAATAGACTTAATAAATCTAAGTTACCATACCGTTCTCCCTGCCTATAACATGTACGAGTAACCTAAGTTAAGGTCGGGGTCGGGGACACCTGCAATGTCAAAAGTGTCGTTATTAACGAATTACATCCGGGGAACTTAACACGTCATCGATCACACTGAGCGATCCGTTTGTAAATTCAAACTTGTCCGGAGGATCCATCAATCATGATCAACTCTGATGGGGAGACATGCAGCATTGATGCAACACTAACGTTTGTTGTTTTGCACTGATTTCATGTCTGCATTTGGTAACCCCATACATGTATTCCTTACAAAAAACAATTATCTGGTACTGCGAGAGGATGGTCATTTTCATATAATCATCGAATAAAACATACGAAGCTGTCCTCTTGCAATTTTGTCCTTTTCTGAGTGTTTTTATAAAAATAAGTGTTTTTATAAGATAACCTACAAACGAATTTATCTGGTACTAGCTAGAGGATATTCAAACAATCATCATATAAAGCATACTTGTCATCTTACAATTTTGTCATCTGAGTGTTTAGAAAAATAAGTATATTTTTCAAGATAAAACGTTTATTGTGCTGTACGTTTCGTCCGAGCACGTGCTATTCCGTCCACACCTGTCCGGAGCCGTTTTGCGAACCCAGCAGTCCTAAGGGACGACCAGACCCCTTCATTTGTAGTGCAAACATACAAGATGACTTAAAACGGCAGTAAACTTGGTACTTAGTGTGCGGCAGCCGGGCCGTGACATTAGCGGTGTGGACTCTGGGGACTCGCAGGGCCACGCGAAACACGACAATCAGCGGAACGTTTAGTCATGTAATCGGCGCGTTTACTGCGATAACAGGAGTAACAGCCCATTATGGTATATTAGTGGAGTTACAGCAGTTCAGTAGTTACAGTTCTAGTGCCACATTATGGTTTATAAGTGGAGTAACAGGAGTTCTAGTGCCTCACTAGACACTAGTTAATGTGTTTAAAGAGAGGCAGATGCGAGCATTGAAACTAGACGTGGAAATTGTTTTATCTGAGATATATCGGTGAGGAAAAGTGGCTACATTATAAATGTAGCTAATTTTCCCCTTTACTGTTGCGTTTCAACTTGTTACAACGAAAGCTTGCTCTCATGAAAACATCTCTGTACGTTTAGTGGGTTTTTACTTATACCCTCCTTTTTACAAGAAGGCGATCAGCTGCTAGTGGAAAGAAGGTGTTTTAAGATTTGAACTGCAAATGTATTGAGTCTTTGGATGCTTTTGATCAGCGTCTTTAACATTCGCAGTATATTCAATAATAAAACAATAAATCTGCCCTTCTTGCAACGTAAACCCGGGTGTGGATGTCGCAAATTGCTCGGGATACTAGCTTTAAATCAGGCGCTTTCACATTGGCCCTACGTCGAAAAAAAGGGACAAATTTGTCGCATAAACCCGGGTGTGGATGTCGCAAATTGCGGCGCAGGTAATTCCCGCTGCTCCGTGCCGGTGTGTAATAAACAGTTTCCCCTCCACACGTGCGTCCCTCCTCGCACCTGCCGACAGGTGATCCCACACAGGTGATCTACCGGGACGGCCCAACCCTTAATTTCTAGTGTAAATATACAAGATGATGCTAAACGCCCTTAACCTTGACGTAGGGGGTAGTTGGCGCGCACTTGGGACTCACCATTACGACATCAATATTGTCACCAGGGACGTTTGCGTGGAAGGGAAAAGGGAAGGATAATTCCTGAACCTGAGTCGTTCGATGGTCTCAGTTATTGTGTTGGAAATAAAAACGTCCAATTATTCCACTCTAACGTTTACTGACTGGGTGGTTCTGATGCGTAATTGGAACATTTTGTCTGGATGTTATTTAACTCGACTGGGAGGTCCACTAGTGAGACGGATCGTCAGTTTACTCTAAACAGCAGGAAGTTCTAAACTGCCGTTTGGGTTACAGTGTCATGGAGCCTTTCCCGATATCGCGAAGTATCAAAATGGTCCACAAGTACGTGCCTCTCCTTATACATGCTGAGCGCGGATTTCTTGCCAAAGTTATATTTTTATGCTATCCTCATAGAAGACGCAAGCAATATACAAGTAATGCGCAAGTAATCAATTGGTCAATGTTGTTAGGAAAACGACAAAATCTTGTAAATTCATGAATTGGAGACTCTACAACATTACTTCTATTGACAATGTTCTCCTTCCCACTTACTTCAAAAAAGCAACAACAAAAAAATAAAATAAAAAAAAGAAAAAGAAAACGTCACTGAGCCCTTTGGCTTTCCACCCGATAGCGATGGCTAAGCGACCAAAATTGAATTTGTGTTTATAGCTGGAATAAGATGCACGGCACAAAAGTATTGAAAATGTAAAACTGTTGTAAAACTGCAGTAAGACTGTTGTAAAACAGTTGTAAAACTGTAGTAAGACAGTTACTCACGCTGGGTATGTTCTCATTGGTGCAGATGCCCTCCGACAGCAGTCTGTCGCGGATCTCCCAGGCGAAGATGGAGGGGCACTCCCGCTTGAACTGCGCGATCTTCGCCACCACCTCGGGCGTGGCTACGCGCGGCTTGGAGCCGCCGATGGCGCGGGGCCGGATCGACCCCGTCTCGTAGTACCTGCGGGAAGGGAGGGAGAGACAGGCGCGCTGTAGGCTAGGCTGTTTTTTTCGTCTCGTAAACGGCCGTCGCCTTTTGAAACTAGTCACCATCAGACCCTTTTGCAGGCTGAATAAATAGTAGAAATCGGGCCAAAAAAGAATGTAGCTGGTCAGAGCATTTCGCCGGTCACAGAGGGTCCAGTTCACATGCATGGAGTCCGTGAGAAGTTACTATGTAGGCAAACTGGACCTTCTATGACCGGCCAGCTACCCTTGACATTATCTTAGGCCGATATTACTACTATTACGGTCGATGCCATATCTCACAGAAGAAATAACTTAAAGTGTATCAACACGGTCCTTCCACACCGCAAAGTTTCTAGTGCTTTCTCTCCACTAATTTTTTGGACCTCAAAGAAGCTATGATCCGCTTGATAAACTTAAAGTTATCCCTTTTGCGATATGGTGACGACCGTTTCAAAACGCGACGGCCGTATACGAGACGGAAATTTGCGCGTTGTAAGCTCGCGTGGTGAGGCGACTGCTTCCACAGCTTCAGACTCGCGCTACCACACGGGAACTTCTTCATGCTTGGCTGCAGGTCTGACCGATATGCAACAGTTTACGGACCACTGAATTTATTGGAAATAAATTTAGAAATGAACAAAAAGTCATTTTTCAAATAATTCGCGTCAATGATTTAGGCATAAGTCACTGTTTGTTATCATTTGTGGTTAGAGTGCAATCGCTGGCCTTATGAAGAACATTTCGTTACCTACTTGTATTTTCGGAATTTCAAAAAAAAAAAAAGAATTTTCGATGAACTTTGATGAAGCTACAAACGGTAAGGCTACATTTGCGTATTTTGTACATGATATAAGATGGTTCCCGGAGAATTGACGGGAAAATCTTGTTTTTCTTCTTACTTTAAACCAAAAGTGTTTTGCAACCAAAGCGCTGCACGCGTCATTTATTTATTGTAGGACAAAATTTCCTTGCTCATATATAGCAAACCGAAATGTTGTTTTATAGCATGCACGATTCATTTCGGCATTTTGTTTGCTTTTTGTTTCTATGGCTTGTTTGAGATTGGCATACACTACCTTCCCAGAATCTTGGACACGCAACCAAATGTTGATTTTATTATAGCATGCAGGATTCCTTTCGGCATTTCATTCGTTTTTTTACGTCTGGTTTGAGTTTGGCATACACTACCTTCCCAGAATATTGGACAGTTTTCTATAGCGCTTTGTTTGATATTGTTGTATTGCAATTGTATGGGTTGTTTGATATTGGCATACACTACCTTCCCAGAATCTTGGACACGCACCCATTGGAGACCTGCAGAAGGCGGGAAATGTCGCAGGGCCGCGCGCCCTGGTGCGCCAGCTCCACGATCTTCTGCCGCGTGGAATCGGGGAGCGGGCGGCCGTTCACGAACACGCCCCCGAGCTGGTTCACGCCGCTATGCCCTGCACCGGATACAGCAAGACCGAGTCAACCCCGGGGCTGGGAGAAGGAGGAGGGACCCCCTGGACTAGGAAGGGGGGATCCCCCTTGAGGAACCCTGAACTAGGAGAAAGAGGGGGTAAGCCCCTGGACTAGGAGAAGGAGGGGGTACCCCCGGACTGAGAAGGACAAAAAGGGTTACTTTCTGAACTAGGAGAAAGAGGGGGACCCCTAGACTATGAAGGGGGTTCCCCCTGGACTAGGAAAGGGGTACCCCCTGGACTAGAAGAAAAAGGGGGTACCCCCTGGACTAGAAGAAAGAGGGGTAACCACTGGACTAGGAGAAGGAGGATACCCTTCTGGACTAAAATGCTCTTGGACAAGGAGGAAACTAGGAGCAGATACCCCTGGGGTAGGAGGTGTAGAGGGAAAATATGAGGGATGACAGAGGGGGAAACTTTGTGTAAGATTGGGCAGAGATATAAGAAAGGTTGTTGCGTAGGGCTGCAACAGGCGGAGATTTGAGCCAGGGCAATGCCCAGCGGAAGACGGGCTGTCAGTTGGGACAGGCGGAGTTGGAGATGGAAATGGGTTTATCGAGTGCATCTCGTCGGAGATAGCTGAGAGGCCGGGAGGATGTGCGGATGGGCATAGATAGCTGATGAGAAGTGACAGATATGGGGGAGGGAGAGATGTCAGATAGTGTAAAAGCTGGCAGGGTACGGTAAAAATAAATGTAGGTTGCGTTGGCTTGGCTCTGAAAAGACAGTGACAGAGAGTATCTTAAGAAAATACTGAGGAGTTGAGAGATGTCTGGGATGCCAGGTGAGTGAGGATGTTAAGGGGACACTGAGGAGCTTGGAGATGGGGCTACAGGCAACGCATAGGATACTGAGTAGTTGGGAGGTCTGAGATATCAAATGAACCTATGGGTAACAGAGAAGAGTAGATCTTAAGAAGATACTGAGGAGTGGAGAGATGGGACTACAAGTAACAGGTAGGATCATCTGAGGACTCGGATGAGTGACAGTGGATCTTGAAAAGATACTAATGAGCTGGGACATGTCTGGTGGGACTACAAGTAGTAAAGAGGATCTTAAGAGGATACTGAGCTGGATGAGAGGGCCTTAATAGAATACTGAGGAGTTGTATGAGAGGGCCTTAAGAGGGAACTGCGGAGTTTGTTCAGTCTTTACGCAGCAGGGCAGCTCGGCTCGAACCAGGCCGGGGAAAGGTGGGACCAGCCGGGCCCAGACTACATGTTCTGCAGCGGCCGCCCGGCCACCCGAGACCCCGCGCCGGGAGATCGGAGGCTCAACACGCACGCTGCGGCACGGGCTCCGGTAAACAACGTTAGTAACCATGGTAACAACAAACAAACAAGCTCAACACGCACGCTGCGGCACGGGCCCTCCGGTAAACAACGTTAGTAACCATGGTAACAGTAAACAAACAAACAAACAAGCTCAACACGCACGCTGCGGCACGGGCCCTCCGGTAAACAACGTTAGTAACCATGGTAACAGTAAACAAACAAACACACACACACACACGCCAGCTTAACACGCACGCTGTGGCACGGGCTCCGGTAAACAATGTTAGTACACAACCAACCAACCAACAAACAAACACGCACGCTGCGGCGCCGGCCCTCCGGTAAACAACTTTAGTAAGCATGGAAACAACAAACAAACAAGCAAGCAAACAAACAAACTCAACACCCAAACAAACATGGCAAAAATAAACAAACACGTTGCATCGCCGGTTCTTCGTAACAATGTTACTAAGTAACGATTGTAACAAACAAATAAACACACTGCGGCACCGGCCCTTCGGCATCAGCCGTTAATAAACACGACAACAAACATACATACAAACAAACAAACACAACACGCACGTCACATTATTATTGGTAAAAACAGAAACAAACAGCAACAGTGGAAATCCACCTTTCTGTACGCTACCTGACATGTCACAGTTAGTAATCACTGATAAAACAATCGATATAAGGATACATGGCAAAATCGTCGGATGTTTTACCAACAATTGTTTGTAAAAGGAAATTATAACAAACAAACATAGAAGCAAACACCAACTGTACATCTCCGTCAACTTTGGACAACGTTAGTAAGAAACTTTTTGTGTTAGTCGAACTGCATGTTTTGTTTCATCGTTTTCGAATCAACCTATTTCTACAAAACAACATACGAACATCGGAGGGACAGTACTTTGAGTACTTTGTGAAATAATGAGACCTTGCTACAAATGTTAACGAGCTAAATGTGAGTCTCACGGGAACAATAAGCAGTGGAGATGAGGTGCTCGAGAAACAAACAATGGAACAGAAGAAAGGAAAATACTAATGGCACAAAAATCATCATGTCAGATATTGTAGATACACGGTCCGAACATAGAGATTGTGAAGTGATGTATAAACACAAACCACGCAGACCGGCCATTAGGTAATTAGGTATTAACATCATACGTGACAGAACAACTGTGCTCGTCAAATTCAAACTGACAACTTATGTTAATGTGAGTTGAGAAGAGATATCACGGCAGTTGTTGGTTTTGGTAAGACAAAGAACACTTGTCATATGGGTCAAAAAAGTCGATCATCAGAAAAGTGGGTGATATATCCTGATGTAAAAATAGGAGCTTATTGTAAGCTAATGTTTTGCATTAAGTTAAAGTTAATGTGCAGAAAACCTAAAAGTAATAGACTAAAAGTTGACGGTCGTTTGCTTCTATGATTTACACCATTCTTGTCGTTTAGCTATAGTTAATTGAGTATTAGCAACATGATGAACAGACAGTAGCTGTTAAAAGAAGCTTAACAGAAGTAAAATTCCTTTTTCTAAAAGGTTTTGAAATCAAAGCAAACATCCTACTTAGAACGTGTATTTGATTAATGACATATTGTATATTAGATAACTAAGCATAAAAAGCAAACCCACATGAAACTTTACTCGTTACAATTTGTCTAACGTCCCTTTGTGGCACTGATTTCCCTGCGTCCATGTCTGAGTGCCTGTCTAACGTGTCAGGTTCGGATAATAGACCCGTCGTCTGACGGGACAATATTGTGGTTGGGTCCGGTAATCCTGTTAGAGCGAGCCAGCTGAAAGTCTGCCGCCACCCGGGCTGCACAGTGCACACATCTGTTGGTTTTGTTCTTTCCTTTTTCTTTTATCCAGAAAAACAGTAATGCATACAAAAAAGAACTCAAAGTGACAGCGAACTCAAGTTAGGAACAACTTACATTGTCGCAGCCACTTTTACAATGAAAATTAAAGGTATTTTACAAGACGTTTGAAAAAAGTGTGGATTCACAATAAGAGACCTAGCTGAAGCTTGACTCAAACCTCCCATTCCAGAAGAAAAGAAATCCCGCTGAAGGTCCCTTTGTGTTCTCTTCTCTGGCTGGGCGGACCGAATGTTGGGCTACACTTCGGGAGAAAGAGGGTCTTTCCTGCTTTCTTTTTTTCTGGGATGGGGATTTTCATTCACTCTTCAATTAGGCCTCTTATTATGAATCTACACTTTTTAAACGTCGTGTAAAACACCTGTAAAAGTAGCTGCGAGAATATAAGTTGTGCCTAAACTTGAGTTCGTAGTCAATTTGTTTGTGTCCTTTCATTTTGTTCATTTTTATATTCCAACATTTCATGACTAGACATGACGACGGCACACCCAAGTTATATTCAACTTATTTCATGCCGCTACCAACACAGAGTAAAAATACAGGACAGGACAATACTCATTTTTAATTGAGTTAAGTGAGGAAAATCGTGTAAACCTTTCCCAAGGGCACAAGATCGGTGGTATGTCAGGACTCGAACCCGGGACCTCTTGGTTCCGAGTCGAGCACTCTGCCGCTACGCCACACAAAACCACCGTCATTTCATTTGTATTCATTACTGTTTTTCTGAATAAAAAGCGAGCTAGGGTCTGGGTGAGAACCCGGGGTGGGCAATTACCGTTCGTGTCTGCCGGGCCGGTGTCGCCATATTGCCGCGGATTTACTTAATCCAATTACGAACGGACGCCGTAATCCTCCAGACCGGCGGGCGATAATCCGACCCGCAAATTTCCGGGAATATAAACGGCGATTCCTGCTCAAGTGTTTCCGGGAACGCTCAATCGATCTAACGTGATTATCGGGTATAAAGGACCAATATAACCCTACTCCAGTGTGAAGCACCAATTTAACACTACTCCAAGACTCTTATCAATAAGCATAAAGCAACACTCTAACGCTACTCCACTAGTCTTATTAACGGGCATAAGGCACCACTCTAGAGCTACTGCAATTTAACGGTACTTCAGTCTCAGCCTACTCCAATATTCTTATTAATAAGCATAAAGCACCACTCTAACGCTACTGCAATTAAACACTACTCCAATACTCTTATTATCGGACATAAAGTGTCACTCTATCGCTACTGCAATTTAACGCTACTCCAGTAGTCTTCTTAATAAAAGACCACTCAACGCTAATCTCAATCTAACGCTACTCTAATAGTCTTATAAATAAAGAACTACTATAACGCTACTTCAATACTTATTATATTAAGCATAAAGCACCACTCGTACGCTATTCCAATTTAACACTATTCCAGTACAATTGATTGGCATAAAGCGCCACTCTAAAGCTACTCTCGATCTAACGATACTTCAATACAATTAACAGGCATAAAGAGCCAATCTGAAAGTCTTACTAACAGGTATAAAGCAACACTCTAATGCTACTCCAGTACACTTATTATGCTGTTCTGAAACGGTTGGTTCGTTTTGTACGCGTGCTTCATTTCATTATTATCGTAGCTGATGATATGTGTACCTAAACCATAGTTGTTTTAATTGAATAAAGATATATAGTGAGGCATTGTGTTCTATAGTAGCATGGTAATTACACAACTTCTAACGGATTTCTAAAGTAGGACAAACGACGAACATAACGGTCAGCATGTCACCATAATTCAATAAAGATAGGCCGTGCCATGAGACACTGAGATTTCAG